TTTCTCTAAAAAAACAGGACATATCACCGCCCCTCCCACTGGCCACAGGGGCCACTAGAGGGCACTCCTGGGGCTGCAGCCCACACCCCAGGGCCAAGAAAAGAGCAGCCTTAGGAATAGTCACTGGCCATGGACCCCTCCTCTTGGAGGGCAAAAGTCCTGGGTGCCCAGGACTGTGAGCAGTTGCCTCCTCCCCTGGGACCCACATTTCCCGAGACAAGACACTGTCCTTATTGCTGAAGCCCCGTTGGCCTCAAAGGGCTATGCTTTGACGGCTGCTGACGGGAGTTTCCTTGCTCCTGCTGAGGACAGACATGGGGAGACGACCGAGTCCTGTTTTCAGTCTTCAGGCTGATCAGCTTCAGGGACGCCAGCCCGAGGTCACATTCCAGGCCTCCCCTCCCTGCCCAGGACACGGGGGGGGGGGGGGGGGGCAGGGGGTCCACCGGCAGAGCCTCAGTTTCTCCATCTGTAAAAGGTGGCAATGGCACCCCACACACAGGGCTGTGTGAGTGAGACGTCTACCCATGCTGCCGACAGCACACTCAGGATTCAAATCCCACTGGCAGCGTGACCGTGAGGAGCTCCCCGCCCCTCCGTGCACCAGAACAGAGGCGCCTCAGCACAGAATCCTCTCCTCATCCCCTCAGCACACTGGGAGCAATGGCCACACGCCAAGGAGAGAGAGTCTGGTGATTTGGGGCCCCTCGGCCCACCGATGCCCCCACGCTGGAGGTGACCCCAGTGGATGCCAACTTCTCACACAGACACGAAAGAAATCACATCTCAACTGATTTATTTGCTTTTGGGGTGTCAAGTTTGGGGTCTCCCAGGGCCCAGCCCCCAGTAAAATCTGGCAGACACTTCCTCGGCAGGGAGCCCCAGGCGTGAGGGTTTCAGACAAGGCACTGACGGGAACTCAGGGGATCAGGGAGAAGCCACCTGGGGTGCAGGGTCCTCTGTTGGAGACAAAAGACACGGTCACCGGGGGCAGGAAAGTTTTTTCCTGGAGCGATTTAGGACAAGATAGAAGCCTGAGATGTTGCGGGGAGGCCTAGAAGCCGGGAACCCCGTGGGCAGGTGGAAAGCCAACGCTCCCAGGACCCAGGTGGCGCCTCTCATGGTTCTGGGGACTCCACAGGCCTTGGGAGCTGAGCCTGTTCCAAACCGGCTTCCTCTGGGATTTCCTGGAGATAAAGTGTATAGGACCGGAGAGCTGCTCCCCCCAGGCGCCCCCCTGCGAATGGGCACTCGGGAGCCAGGCCAACTCCCAGAGAATGGGATCCTGCCCCCTCTCCGCCCCCATTCCCATGGGAGAGGCGGGCACCTATGCGGGTGTCTGGGCAGCTGAAGGAAAGGCTTGGGTGAGGAGCGGGAAGAGGAGAAACGGATATTCGGAGTGGGGAGCCCCTCGAGGTCTGGGAGCCCCAGAAACCCAGCTTGTGACAACTGCCCCTGCACCAGGGGGCAGGGCCTCTTGGCAGGCATGTCCACCATCCACCTAGGTACTGACCTTCAAGATGTAACATTGGCACATGGCCCGCACCCCAAACAGCCATTCTGCCATGGGTCCGAGCGGGACCCTGGCCTTGAACATGCTTTCTCACCCAGCGGCAGCCCCAAGCCCTCGCAAGGCACTTGTGCCTGGAGAAGGGAAACTTCATCTGGGATATGGGGGGGAAAAAGCCCTTTTTGGTTCCTCCAAGTCCACGGATACCATGGATTCATAGCCAGGAGGATTGAGGGCGGCAACCTGGCACTAAGGCGCCCTGCCCCTCCTCCGACCACCATTGGTGAGTGCCCCACGTGGCCGCAGGCTCGGTCTCCAGGTGGAGGCTGGGGACACGGTGAAGAATGGAGCTTTGTCCCACCGTCCTTGAAGGAGAATTCTGGCTCAGACACTCCAAGGGGCGGAGAGGTCAAAGGTCAACCGTCTAGACAGTGGCAGCAAAAAAGAGGCTGGTGTGGTGGGCAGATTTCCCTGAGCAGCTCCCCTCCCCAACCTGGGTACTCCCAAGGGGCACAGGAGTGCTGGTGCACACACACCCCCCCCCCCGACCCCCACCCCCACCCCCAGCTGGCCTAGCTTCCCAGCTGAGACTTCTAAGATAATAATACGGTATCTTGAATCTACTTTTCCAGCTGTCCCGAGCAGGCCCGTCCTGGTAGAAGTTTCCAGCAGGGCAGCTGAAAATGATTTTCCTTGCTGAAACGATTGCAATCTGACACTCTCGCCAAAGACTTGGCGCTGAGTAGGAAGCCATGATGTTGCCCCCTGCCTGGCCCTGTCTCTCTCAGTGGCCAGGGGCCCCTGGCTGCTCCCTGACTGGACCAGGTAGGCCAAGTGGCACCTGCCCAGAACACCAACTCAAATCCCTCCTTCTTTCCATCTTCCTTTTCTTTCTCTTCTCTTTCTTTCTTTCTTTCTTTCTTTCTTTCTTTCTTTCTTTCTTCCTTTCTTCCTTTCTTCCTTTCTTCCTTTCTTTCTTTCTTTCCACCAACTTCTTTCTTTTTCGAGCTAGGTACTCATGCACACACCACTGACCTTCTTTTTGGAGGGGGTGGGGGAGCCAAAGGAGCTGAGAGAAGAATCAAGGTATGGGGTGCAGAGGCTCTAGCATATTAAACCAGACACCCAAATCACACTCCCTCCCCGTTCCCCACCTCAGCACCCCCCACAGCGGCTGGCCAGGGAGAAGCCCCTTCAGCTTCCATATGAGACCCCCAGCATCACTTCTCACCGCCCCCCACCAGCCTTCACATCACATCCCTCGGCTAACTTTCCACCATTAGCTCTGTCACACCCACTTCTTCTGGCATCATGCTCCTCCACACCTGACAGCTGCACCCCTTCCACAGACCCACCCGTCTGTCCCATTCTGTGCCCCAATCTGAGAGGCTCTGAAAACGACAAGGGAGAGGAAGGGAACCTGGCCCTCTCGTCTTACACAAAAACATTTTGGTCCGAGACCCAACAAACGCAGACAAGACATAACATGGAGTGAATGGATGAGTTGACCCAAAAGAAAAATTTTTAAAAATTCAAAACAGGAAAAAAAAAAAACCTGTCAGGGAATGAGTGAAATATTTAATAGCTGATTAAATAAAAATGAGCTAGAGCCGAAACCGGTTTGGCTCAGTGGATAGAGCGTCGGCCTGCGGACTGAAGGGTCCCGGGTTCGATTCTGGTCAGGGGCATGTACCTGGGTTGCGGGCTCATCCCCGGTGGGAGATGTGCAGGAGGCAGCTGATCGATGTTTCTCTCTCATCGATGTTTCTAACTCTCTCTATCTCTCTCCCTTCCTCTCTGTAAAAAAATCAATAAAATATATTTAAAAAAAAAAAATGAGCTAGATGTGCTGTATCATGGACAAGGACAGGATTCCGATCCAACTCGAGGGAATCTAAAACAAACAAATGCGGGAACACAAAAATGGCACACACACACTTGACAATGATCAGACAATAAGTTACGTCTCTCAGCTGCTAAATCTCAGGGTGCTTTAAACAGAGAGGTGAAATGAGGACAAAAGGAAGATGAAAATGTGGACTTTGGGGAGTGCCTGGGTTCCAGTAGGTACCCAGCTAAGATTGGACCTGGCTCACCTCCAGTCCTCACCTCCTTCCCCATCCTGCCAAGATTCATTTTCTCCTCAGAGCCCCCAAAATCAGATCTTTGGGGAGCAGAGCTAGATGGAACTTGATGTTATGAATAGGACCTCTACGTCCCCCGCAAGCCTTGAGCCCCCCACATTCAAAAGAGCCACAATTCTGCCCACAGAAGACAGGTGAGGGAGCAGATGCAATTATATCCCGCACACCCAGATTCCTCAGGAGACCCCAAACTCAGACTGGGGACATGGAGGGGACATTTCTGGCAGAGGGAGGGCTGGCATGGAGGGGGAAGCAGAGGCCCAATCATTTCTACCTGCTGGCCACAGTCTACGCACGTCTTCCACCAGCGCCCCCTTTCCTCCTCCAGAGAAAGCCCACGGGTCAGAAAATGCCTCTAACTCAGAAACCCATCAACCTGGTTCCCAGTCCACATAACTCTGCAGAGGCAGGAGCCACCCCGGCACGGGAACAGGAGGGAAAGAAGGTAAATGTTTAAGAAAACAGAATAAAAATATCAACTATTTAAAAAACAAGACTGGCCCTGGCCGGGTAGATCAGTTGGTTAGAGTGTCGTCCTGATACGCCAAGGCTGTGGGTTCGGTCCCTGGTCAAGGCACATGCCAGAATAAACCAATAAATGCATATATAAGACGAAGAACACACTGATGTATCTCTCTCTCTCTCTTTCTCACTCTCCTTTTTTTTTTAAAAAAATAAATAATTAATTAAAAATAGCCCTGGCCAGGTAGCTTGGTTGGTTGGGGCATCATCCTGATACACCAAGACTGTGGGCTCCATCGACAGTCAGGACACATACAAGAATCAATCAAGGAATGTGTAAATAAGCGGAATAACAAATCGATGTTTCTCTCTCTCCCTTCTTCTCTCTCTAAAAATCAGTAAGTAAAAAATTAAAAACAAACAGAAACCTGCATGTCGGGATATCGACGGGATCCGATACAGCATCAGATTCTGGTTTGCTTCGCACTTAGGGAAATGATAAAACCACATGTTCTCCAAAATAAAGGGAATTCTTCCCAAAACATGTATTTTTTTCTCGGTCGGCTTCCTGGTTGCTGCTGCCGCCCTGTCCTGACGATGCCAAGGGACAGCTGAAGGTAGTTGCCTCCTGGGAAATGCCACGCTCATCCCTGGCTGTAAGTCCAAAGCCACCAGGGAGGGTGGTAACAATTCACTCCTGAATCGGGGTGCGATGCCAAAAACCATCGCCACAAAAGCCCGCTGGTCACTGCACCAGCACACACAGGAGCTCGGCAAACTCCAGCCCCAGGCCCGGCTTTGGGCGCCCCCTAAAGGAAAACAAGAAGCTTGCCCCTAGCACCAAAGCTCCAAAATCCAGGCCAGATGTGGGTGGTGGTTTTCAGCTGCTACAAATTTTTACATATTAAAAAAAAAAAAAAATCATGTACATGTCAAGATGGCAAAGTCGGCCTTTCCACCGGGGGGCCCGCTCCAGAGCTCACAGCTTGGGTGTTGAAAGGGTCAGCAAACCCTTCAACCTCCTGGGGCAGCAGACCCTCCCCCCACCCAGTCTCCAAACCCAAGCACGGTCAGTGTGTCAGCCCCCAAACGAAGATGCAGGTCCGGTGCTCGGGACAGGAGGCAGAAGGGGCTGCATCCCAGGAAAAAGAAAAGACACTTTTGTTGTTGGCTAAAGCCTGTGTTTTAACCAAAGGGAATATAAATTACTCTGTGCCCAAACTAGCACTATTGTTTTAAAAAAGAGAGTAAGGCCTTGGCCGGGTAGCTCATTTGTTTAGAGCATCGCCTGGATACTTCAAGGTTGCGGGTTCAATCCCCCATCAGGGCACGTACAAACAGCAACCGATGAGTGCATTAATAAGTGGAACAACAAGTCAGGGTTTCTCTCTCCCCCCCTTCTCTCTCTCTCTCTCTCTCTCAACAATTAATTTAAAAAAGAGAGAGAGAGAGAATAGAATTTGGAAAATAACAAAGTCACAGCATAGCCCACGGCTGTCCAAGCTGTGGGGACATGGGTCAGGGCAGCCTCTCGGAGAGGCTTTCACGGTTGGGAAAAACCAGCGATGGGATGGAGGGAACTCCGAAATCCCGTCACCAGAGCCCTCAGGAGCAGGCGCACAGGTGGCCCAGCTGTGGGATCGCGGCGTGGAGATAAACCCAATCAGGATTCTCTTCGGAAATCCGCACCCAAGGGTCTCCGGACATCACGGCCACCTCCCCAGATGCCAAGGGAAACAGAGAAACACTCTTCAGCAGCCCGTTCAAATCAATCAGCACGTTTGCAGATCAAAGGGGAGAGGAGGTGTGTAAACAGAAATATCTGATCCGAATCAGATCACCGGCTGAAAGTTTGCCTCCTCCTGGGTCCCTGGTAGGACAAGGCCTCCGGAGGCCTGGGTGGCTCTTAGTGTTCGTGGCGACAGTGGATTCTGTCTTCGGACTGCTCCAGGACGCCCAGCATCTCCTCGATGATAGCCCGCAGCGCCCTGCCCAGCTGGTCTGCGTTGTACGGCTTGCCCAGGGGAGGCACGTGGACAAAGGCTGAGCGGCCGTGGCTCTGGTACAGAGAGGTGTAGTAGGTGAAGTCGCAGAGGTACCTAAGCCGCAGGACATAGGGGCAGGCGGGAGAGCAAAACACAGTCAGACTAGCAGGACGGCCTCCATCCAAACCGCCTGTAAGACACCCGATCCCACCGGAAATCCTCAAGGGGGAGGGAATACTGCTCTCCCTTCCCAGGTTGGCAAAATGAAAACACACATACACAAAAACAACCTATGAACTCCCGGTGCTGGTACGTGTGTGGGGACGTGGGCAGCGTGACACGCTGCTAGTGTGGACGTAAACTGCCCCGGGGGAAGGCGCTTTGGCAGGCTCGCATAATGACGAAGGCACAGTCTTTACAAACTGACGGTTCCAGTTCTTAGAACCTACCTTCAGGAGCCAGCTGCACAGAAAGATAAACAAGGTGTTCGCTGCAGTGTGTGTATAACACAGGACAACAGGAAGCAACCGGCTAGGGTCCGAATGTGTGTGTGTGTGTGTGTGTGTGTCCCGTCCGCACCCCCCACCCCCACCCCGCACACACAATTCATATGTGAAGCCCTCATTCCCAACGTGATGGTATTAAGAGGCGGGGTCTCTGAGAAGTGAGGGCCCTCATCAGTGGCATTGGTGGCCTTTGAACAGAGACCTCAGAGAGCTCTCTTGCTCCTCCCACGTGTGAGGACACACAAGGAGCCAGCCATCTGGAGGAGGGCCTTCCTTGACCTTGAACTTCCCAGCCTCCAGAACGGAGAGCAATACATTTCTGTTGTTGACAAGCGCCCCCAGTCTGTGGTATTTGGTTATTGCAACTCAAACAGACGAAGACACAAGCTAAAGGTCCGCTGACGGAAGGGTGGCCTAATAAACTTCGGTTTATCCACACGGTGGAAAACTACGCAACCAGCTCCAAGGCACGTGGTAGCTCCAGAGGAAGACAAAGAACTCACGAAGGAAGGCCCAGTCGTGCGTCCATAAGTGAAACCGAGGGAGGTGATGCTCGGGAAACTCCATGCCACGTAACCCCGTCCACATAAAAGCAAAGCAAAACGGGACAAAATGCTACAGCAGCATGCCAGGTGCTCTAGACACGTATGGAGACATGGAGGTGATAGGAGGGCTCAGAATTTAAGTCTCTCGCTTACCAGAGGGGTCACTAGGGGGAAGGAGAGAGGGCAAGAGAATTTTTCACAATGGGAACTTATGAGAACATAGTCTAGAATTGTCTGTGCAACTTAAAACTGGTTTTAAAAGGAGACGGATAAGAAATTCAGTCACTCCTACATCAGTCAGTCGGCTGAATTTGTCACCTGCTGCCTTCGGGATGGAGAAGTGTGAGACGTGTTGAGAAATCCAGATGCCAGGTGCTGAGAGGGAGTGGAACAGAGGACACAGCTTGGTCTGGGAGGTAGAGGGGCCCTCGCTAAGGAGGCAACATGTTGGAGCTGAGACCTGAAAGAGGCCTCGTCGGAGGGAGGCAAGTTTGGGCAGAGGCTACAGCGAGTGCAAAGGCCCTGAGGCTAGAGTGAGCAGGGACAGGAGGAGGCTGGTTTGTGGGTCTGGAATGCAATGGGTAAGGAGAGAGTGGAGGCAGATGAGGGTGGAGGAGTGGGTAGGGGCCAGACCACATAGCACCTGGGGATGGTGGGGAGAGACTGGGATTTTATTCCAAGGGCAGTGGGAGCTTCAGGGAGGATTCAGCAAGGAAGAGATATCATCTGACCTAAACTTATAAAAGACCTGTAATAGTCTCCCTTCCAAATTCATGTTCACCTGGAACCTCAGAATGAGACCTTACTTGGATATGGGAGTTTAGCAGATGTAATTAGGAAACAGGAGGTCATACTGGACTAGGGTGGGTCCTAAATCCAATGACCGGTGTCCTTATAAGGAGGCCATATGGCCCTAGCCAGTCGGCCTGTGGACTGAAGGGTCCCAGGTTCCATTCCGGTCAAGGACACGTACCTCGGCTGCAGGCTCCTCCCTGGCCTGGGCCCTGGTCCGGGCTCGTGCAGGAGGCAACCAATCAATGTGTTTCTTTCACATCAATATTTCTCTCTGTCTTTTCCTCTCTCTTCCACTCTCTCTAAAAATCAATGGAAAAATATCCTCGGGTGAGGATTTAAAAAAAAAAAAAAAAAAAGGCCATAGGAAGACAGAGGCAGAGATTGGGGTGACACATCTACAAGCCAAGGAACGCAAAGGGTCGCTGGCAGCCGCCACAGGTCAGGAGAGAGATGGGGAACAGACTCTCTTCAGAGCTTCGAGAAGGAATGGACCTTGCTGACCCTTTGATTTTGGACGTCCAGCCTCCAGAACTGGGAGAGAATAAATTTCTGTGTGTGGTTTTGTTACGGCAGCGGCAGGAGAACTAGTATAGAAATAGACTGCTTGGGGGAGGACTGGCGGGAGGAGCAGCAGGGAGCTGGCGGGTGCAGCATCCAGATGGGAGACGGCAGGGACCGGGGTGGGGAGAAGGGGGCAGATCCATGCGTAATGAGCTCCGGAAGCAGCATCGTGCGACCCGTTAAGAGTATATCCTTTGTTCTGTGGTTTACGAATGGTGAGCCTTCAGCCCTCAGAGGCCAAAGTCACACACTTGGCTTGCTCAGCCCCGGCCTGGGCCGGTGGAGGAGGGAAACCCCGCTCACACCCACCCCACGGAGCCCTACCTGCCGGCATCTTGCGAGATGGTCACGGACACGTCCAGGCCCAGCGTGGTGACCCTCTTACACACGGCGTCCATGTCGATGATGGAGTCGATGCTTTCGGGCCCGTCCTCCACGCAGCACTGGGAGCCAGGGCAAAAGCGGCAATTGTCCAGCCCTTTGTAGCCCTTGTTGTGGCCGCACTTCTCCAGCGTGACTGTGGTTGCCATGCCTGACACGCCCACATGCACCACCAGCTGCAGACAGACAGGCGGGGCTTCACAGGGTCTGTCCCTGGGACTAGGGGGGCCCTCAGGTCAAGGAGAGGGTGGCAGCCTTGCTAGGCTCCATGGGGGTTACACTGTCTGACCTCTTGTTGCTGGAATAGACCCCATAGTCACCACTGCAGAAAGGTATGCCAAGTGCAACATACAAGGATGTGAAACATGCAAGGATGTTTCCGTAGCCTTTTAATACAACCAAATACTGGAAAACATGTAATTAGCTATGTGTGTGGGCTGGTTAAATAAATTATGAACTACATTGCAGCTGCTAAAATGCCCAAAGCAGTTCTGTAAGGAATGATCTCCAAGACATATTGCCAAATGCAAAAGGCCACGTATCACTTTTAGGAATGTAGCCTAAAAATAATCAAAGATGTAATAGTCTTTCAATGCTCACTTCCATGTTACTTATAAAAATGGAAACAAGTAGCACACCCAATTATAAGAGAATGGTTATATTAATTATTAAAAATTACCCAGCGATTAAAATAATGGTTAGGGAGAATTTTTAATGACCTAGGTGATTAAATGCTCATGATAAAATATTTATGAAAAGCAGGATACCAAACTGAATACAGTGTAACTTCAACCATCAGTTACTGGTGTGTATGCTTACACACAGAAGGGGCCCTGTGAGAAACTACGTGAACACTGAAAATATCGGCAGCTACTGAGCACTTGTCATGTGGCTGGTGCAAACTGAGATGTACAGTCAAGTGTAAAAACTATCAGATTTGGGGGGTTGGGCACCAAAAAAAGTGTAAAATGTCTCAATGATTTTTTAAAATGTTGACTGCATGAGATCAAAGCAGGAACAAAGCTCCATAAATCACCCCGGGGTGGGCGCCCATCTCAGGGCCCGCTAAGGAAGCAGCTGCCTTTGCCTGGCTCACCTGTGGGCTGTGCTTCTCCCACAGGGCGGGGATGAGCCTCTGGACTGTCTTGTACTCGACGGGAATCTCGTACACGTGCAGGTCCACGCTGTCGCCAAGGCCCAGCTTCTCCAGCTCCTGGAAGCGAGGGAGAGGGGGTGTCAGAGCATTCGGCAGCACAGCAATAAGGTGTTCCGTGGGGATAAACCGACCGATCGTCAGAAAACAGGCAGGTGTCCAGACTCTGGGCAGAGTGGGTAGGCAAGTGGGCTGGTCTACCCCAAAGCTCTCCCCTCATCCCCTCCCCCACCCGCTCGCCTCGAACTCTATCTGCACGTCCAGGAGCGACAGGGGTGTGATGCTGCAGCCTCTGGAGCTAGGCTCTTGGGTGTGAACCCTGCCTATGTGACCTTGGGCATGTTACTTAACCTCTCTGAGCCTCAGTCTTCTCATTTGTAAAATGGGGATTAAAAAAAGTACTTACCTCACAATGTGCTTATAAGAATTAAATGAACAAACTCACACTAAGAGTTCCAAGCAAAGCTCAAATAATGTTGCCACTGTTACTACTGTTTTTGCTGTTACTACACTTTCCCTGGTCACACCTGATAAGAATTATGCATAGACTTGGTGGGTGGTATATAGCAGGAGCTCAGCATTCATATGCAGGGGCTTCCCAACTCCTTAGGGAGCCTCTAACCATCTTGGGCAGGAGGTGGCCTAAGAACATCATGAATTGTATGCATACAAACCGGGCTAGGGGTTACAGCGTACACACTTTCCTGGGGAAAAGCCGATGCTTTCCACCAAGGGTCTGCCTGTTAACTCCTTGTGGGCGGAGCCTACCACCTGGCCGGCCCAAGGCACAGTGAGCGGGAGGCCCAGAACCAGATTTGCTGGAGGAACAGTGAGCCGGCAAGCCCGGCACCCAGAGGGGGGCAGAGATATTTGGGGATGAAGACTTCAACTCAATATGAAGACCTGGGCATTCTTCACAGTAGAATTAATACTCCAAATAATGATGATCAGTCGAGCTAGTTCACATTGTCCTCAGGTCTCATGCAGTGGTTTGGAAATGCTGCTGCCAGTGGGCATTCTCCAGGGCCGTGGGCGGGTCCCAGGTGCAGCATTTGTGTGACCGGGCTCCGGGAATCTGCCACAGGTGAGTTCCTGCATCTCCTCCAGCGTCGCCTGACCTTGCTATCCCTGCTGCCCAATGCCACACCCAATCACTGCAGTTTACCCTGGAGGCATCTGACACCTGGGAAAGCAGGTGTCTCCTCACTGACAGATAATTCCAAACTGCTCCCCAAAGAGGGTGCAGCAGGTCACCTGGGAGCGAGGACCCCTGGAGGGTGGGTGGGCATGATGGGTGTGTGTGTGGGCATGGGGGGGGGGGTCGCAAATGCCAACACCAGGAACTGGAACACCTTCCCTCTCCTCAAGCCCGGTGACTTGTGGGGCCAGGAAGGACCCCCAGAGATATCCCACAGCTGGACAGATGAGGGCAGAGTGCAACCCTACACCCCAAACCCTGGGGCACAGTGAGCTGCAGGCTGTTGCTGGGACAGTTGGTTGTGGGGGTGTGGGGGTTATGCTCTGCGTGAAATTGATTTTATTTTTAAAAAATATGTCTTTATTAATATGTGTTTATTAATTTGAGAGAGAGGAAAGGAGAGGAGAGAAAGAAACATCAATGATGAGAGAAAAATCACCGATCGGCTGCCTCCTGCACGCCCCACCCTGGGGATTGAGCCCGCAACCCGGGCAGGTGCCTTGACCAGAAATCGAACCTTGACCTCCTGATTCATAGGTCAATGCTCAACCACTGACCCACACTGGCCGGGCTGAAATGGATTTTAAAACATTAAAATACACTAAAGAGAAACTTTGTAAAATACTTCATTTCTCCCACAGTCATTTTTCGTGGTCATTCGTATTTGCATTCTTCGAGCTCCCCTGCCATCTACACCTCGACTCTCTGGACTCACTGTGCAACGGGACCAGAAAAGACATTCGTTAAGGATCTGAGATGCAGAGACAGAGCGGGCACGTGCTGGCCAGCGTGCAATCAGGACTCCCACCTGACCAGATCGCTTTCCACCCGGTCAAACCCCTGAGAAGCGAGGGAGGTTTCAGATCCGTGACCACCATTTCAGCTCCCCGATTTCATAAGCATTTACCCAGTTTCTACACACTGAAGTGATTGTTATGGCCACACAAACGGACAGGCCACCATGTGCTTGAGGTTGGCTGGAGACACCTGAATTTTGTTTGTCAACTCGATTTGGAGACCACATCCTGCTGTGTTCTGCCCCACACTGTCCCAGCCGCCTGGCCCCCAAGGCAGAATCTAAAATCATAACACACCAGCCTGGCCAGTGTGGCTTAGCTGGTTGGGCGTCATCCCGTGCACAGAAAAGTTGCCAGTTTGATTCCCGGTCAGGGCACTTGTCCAGGTTTCGGGCTCGATCCCCAGTAGGGGGCGTGCAGGAGGCAGCTGATCAATGATCCTCTCTCATCACTGATGCTTCTATCTCATCTCTCCCCCTCTCCCTTCCTCTCTGAAATCAATAATAAATAAACAAGTCATTGAGCCCTAGCCGGTTTGGCTCAGTGGATAGAGCGTCAGCCTGCGGACTGAAGGGTCCCGGGTTCGATTCCAGCCAAGGGCACATGCCTGGGTTGCAGGCTCCATCCCCAGTGTGGGGCGTGCAGGAGGCAGCCAATCACTGATTCTCTCTCATCATTGATGTTTCTATCTCCCTCTCTGAAATAAAAATATACATATATAAAAACGTCAACGGAAAAAATACCTTTAAAAAATAACTGAGGTAAATTTTACATTATGGATATTTTACCACAATTAAAAATGACTTAGAAGTCAAGAAAAAAAATTAAATTATATTTATCTTATTATTTACTTCTCTATAGAGAAAAAGCAAACGTAATATAATACTAAGAATTGGGGAATCTGGGCATGAAAAAGACTTCTTTGTATGATTCTTATAACTTGTCAAAAATTTAGTTGGAGGGGGATAAAGATGGTTGCTTCCTCTCCGCACAGGCTGGGAGGCGTCTCCAGCAAAGGCTTTATGTTGGCCGACGGTAAATCATCTCATCCATCCTCACGCCCCACCAACCATGACCCCACCTGCTCTTACCCTCCTGTCCTCACTGCTTGGGGCTTTCCTGCCTTACCCCGTGTCTTCGTCCTGCGCCCTGGCAGCCTTTTCTGGCAACAGAAAATAGGTTTAAAGCCCAGAAATTGACCTGGCCGGTGTGGCTCAGTTGGTTGAGTGTCATCCCATGCACCAAAAGGTCTCGGGTTCGATTCCAGGTCAGGGCACATGCCCAGGTTGCAGACTTGATCCCCAGCAGGGGGCAGGCAGGAGGAAGCCAATCAATGTTTCTCTCTCTCCCTCTCCCTTCCTCTCTCTCTCTAAAAAAAGAAAAAGTACAGAAATTAAAAGAATCCATTTCTCAGGCTGAGGGAGGACTTATTTGTTCAGAGTCTCCGTCAGTAAGTTGTCCCAAACTGAGCCCCTCACAAGCCCAAGCAAGTCAATTTGGTGGCATCGCCTCTGAGGGCAGAGATCAGGGATGCTACTAATTTGATTAGTGACCAATCCAAGCGATCCTCTCTGGGGACAGAAACCCTCCCAGTGGCCCCCATGACATGGGATGTGCCAAGGCCGGATGCCGGCTCTGGGCAGCCCCTCCCTGCAAACCCTCTCTGCCCTCCTCTCCGCCATAAGCGCGATGCCACGCGCCCGCACACTTAGCGGTAGAAAATGAGCCGGGAGCCACAGAACGAGTCACCCTCTTGATCGACCCTGAGTTCCTCACGTTCTCTGGGTGCTGAGCTAGGCCCTTCCCAACTGGGGGAAAATCTGAACCAGGAAAACCCCCTCAAAGAACATGCACACACACAGCAAGCCAGCCCCCTCGTGGCAAAGACCCTGATGGGAGCGCCGCTGCTGCCGTATTCTTAGGGAGCAGACCCTGAAGTCTCCGAATGCCGCTGTCAGTGGGAGGAGGGGTGAATCAGGAAAAGAGCCAGTTGCCCGCCTGCACCAGAGCAGGCTGAGCAAAAGCAACTGGCACACTGGGGCACAGAGGCTGTGCCACACATTCAAGACCAAGCACAACTCCTCTAGGGTGACCGAGCTCAGGATGGCAGCTGTCCCTGGGGCAGGACGAGAGGGGCGGGGGGCGGTGGGAAGGCAGGAGGGAACATTCTAGGCCAGTGGTTCTCAACCTGTGGGTCGTGACCCCTTTGGGGGCGTCGAACGACCCTTTCACAGGGGTCGCCTAAGACCATCGGAAAACACATATATAATTACATATTGTTTTTGTGATTAATCACTATGCTTTAGTTATGTTCAATTTGTAACCATGAAAATACATCCTGCATATCAGATATTTACATGACGATTCATAACAGTAGCGACATTACAGTTATGAAGTAGCAACGAAAATAACGTTATGGTTGGGGGTCACCACAGCATGAGGAACTGTATTCAGGGGCCGCGGCGTTAGGAAGGTCGAGAACCACTGCTCTAGGTGGACTGCAATGGAGCTTGGAGACGTGGGCATGAACACTTTTCTCCTAAGTGAGGCGGATACTGCAGATCAGTACATGTCGTTCTATGCAAATTATTCTCCAATTTTAAAAAGGGTAACGGAGGTCAAAGGGCAGCTATGAAGTTCCTCTGAAGTTATGAGAGGTGGGCGGCCAGTAATCTCGCGCAATTCTTTGCTTCTAAACACTTTCTGTCCCAACAGGGCCAACTGGTTCTCCTGGGGGGCTGGCAGCACACCCCAAGTCCCACAACAATTCGCAGTGAGAGCCGAGCATCTCCGTGAAAGGAAGGGACCGGCCGGGTGTCCCAGACGGTGCATTGTCTGTACCCCGTCTACCTGACAAGACTCCACTGCTCGGACGCGTCTGACCGATTCCCTTGACCCCACAACAAAGACCCTCTTTGTTCCCTGCTTAATAGCCTTAGCAGGTCTGTCTAGACTCGGTGGCAGTCATTGTCCTGTGATGTCACCGGGACTGTGACCCGGCTCCTCCTTGCCTGCTCGGGCAGGGAGGGCTCCAGACGGCTCCCAGCCAGGGGTCCCGGCCCTTGACACCTACACCTGCCTGGGCCTCCGAGGAAGAGACATGCAGCTGGTGCCCCGGGCCACCGGGGAGAGACGGACACGTGAAAATCCACCTCCCCTGCAAGAGGTGCGGAGGAGCCCCATCCTGTGGAAAGACCCAAGTGTGGGGTCACCCCGCGGTCCCCAGAACTCCCACCTCCTGCGTGGCTGGTGAGGTTCTCCTAAGGCTGAAGAAGGAAGGCCACATGAAAGAAGGGAAGCAAAAGACAGAGAGAAAGGGGGCAGGAAAGGAAGAGAGACAGAGAGCCTCACAGGGAGACCAAGAGAAACAGAAAAACAAAGAGAAGCAGAGATGGAGAGAGAGAAGTAGAGAGAAGGGGAGAGACAGAAAGACAGGCCCAGAGAGGCCAAGAGAAACTGAAAGAGGCAGAGGGCGGGGAGCGAGGCACAGGTACAAAGAGAGAAAGATGGAGAGAGAAGAGGAGAGACAGACAGGGAGAGAAGTCAGCTGGTCCCGAGAGGGAAGGAGGTGCCTCCTCCAGATGGCAATTGGGCTTCTGAAGAATCAGTTGGGACAGAAAGTGACGCCACCCACTCTGTAGCCAAGCCCCCATCTTCAGCCGCAGGTGACAGACAACTGTTCCTGCACCCGAGCCTGGACCACCCCAAGCACACTCGAGGCCTGTTTCCTCGCGGTGCCGACCGGACCTATCCAACAGCCGCACTCTTTCCACGGGCACCTCTCTTTTCTCCAGGGCAACTACGAGTGCCCACGTGAACCCCTGGGTGGATCATGCAGACAAGGGGGGACAAGCACGGCCAGCGGCGTTCCAGCACAGGCAAGACGCACATGGTGGCAATAAAGGCAGCAGAGAGGGTTGCATCTTGGGGAGGCGGGTAGCTGAGAGGGGCAGACGGGTTGGAATGTTCTAAACCTTGATCCAGACGCAGGTGACATACAGGTGCACGTGCTAATATTCCATGGAGTTATACGTGTGGGTACTCAGAGGTTATATATACCACTCCAGTTAAAAAAAACAAAAACAAAAAAACCCAGAGAAACAATCGGATCTGGGCAGGCTGGTGTCTTTTTAGCTGGGGAATAGTGGACAATCCCTTCTTGTTTCATGAACTTGAGGAAGAAAATGGGAAGTCTTCCAGAGGCCACATCTGGAAGGATGAGCAGAAACAGAAGGTGTACTTCCCCTCAGGCAGCAGCCTGAAAAGCAGCCATCCTCCCCCCCCCTCCAAGCCCCAAAGCTGGGAGGGGGATTTCCAAAGATTGTTTAATTGATTTTTCTCCTATTTAGATGCAGATGATCATGTCTGGGGCCCAGGAATCCAGACACACGGCTTTGTGTCCACTCAGCCCCGTGAAGGCTCCGGTCTGAAACTCGCACAAAGCCAGACACACAAGTCTTCAGAAACACGCTGTTTCCTTTTTGTCTGGGGCTCCAGGGAGCGGGTGCTCTGAGCAAGGGCTCCGACATGCTCCCATCTGCAGGGTCCCGGGGACCCCGTCCCTGGGTGATAATTTTTTTAAAAAGGTGCTAAGATTTTTGAGGTCTGGAGTAGGGGTGATAAAAAAGGTGGGGGTGCTCCAATTAGGGGTTGACCCATCAAAGTTTCAACTTGAATTTTTCTCCAAATTCAGGGTCCTGGAGTGGAAAGCACGCAATGCTTTAAATCAAGCAGCTAACGGGCTAGGATTATTTGGAGTTTGGCTCCGGTCTCTGCAGATCTGATTTATATAAGGAGAAAACATTTCTCTCTTTCTCTCTGCCCATTGTTTCCTAGTCTGTCCCTCCAAATGCCCCCTCTGACAAAGAAACTGGAAGGCTCACTGGTTGACACCCTGCTCAGGACAGCAGGAAAGACGCCCCCACGCCCAATATACACAGCTTTCTCTTCCCTCAGCTGCAAGGAGGTACCACCCCCCAAGGCTAACACATCCCCCAATATCCCTGCCTGGTCCCCTGCAAAACACAGCTGGGGCGTGGGGCACTTCTGAGGCAATACCATTCCAGTTTCCTGGCTGTGTGGCTTCAGATAATTCCTTCCGGGCCTCAGTTTCCTCATCTGTAAAGTGGGTGTAGGAATAACTGCTCGTAACCATGCAGTTGTGAGGAAAATTCGGAGTGCTGGCTGCAGCGAACACCTGGCCCAGAGCAGCGCTCAACACACGTACGCTACAGCGGTTGCCATCTGGGAAGATGTGTACATCAGACTGAAATATTTCATAGGGTGCGTCACAGGAATGTTCTCATTGTAGATTCCTCCTTTCTTTGGTGCCCAATGTTGCCAGGGGGAGCCCAGCCCCAAGAATGATGCCTACCCTTCATGTCCGAGTTACCTGGACTGCAATCCAGCTGGCGTTCACGGTGTGCTCCCCAAAAGGACCAAACCCTAAAAAAACAAAACAGTAAGAGCAGCATGTCACCGCAGAGTGGCCCTGCTTAGTCTGCCGGGGTCAGGCTGTTGCCTCCGCCCAGAACAGAGCAGGGAGCTGCAGGAGCAGCTGCCACCTGGGGCAATGGCGTGGTGGGGGTGGGGGGCTGTCCTGAGTTCCGGGGCACACCCAGTGGAGCTTCAGAGCCGCCCTCGACACACTTGTCTGCTCTTCGTTGAAGCTGTGTGTTCTTTTCTGTCCTTACTTTCATGTGACTCCCATGTCCGGCAAAAGGCCAGCGGCCTCCTTTTGCTCTGGAAAAGGCTGGTCTTGCTCTCTTCTCAACTTCCTCCCCTGTCCTTGACCCAACGTACAATTATCTTATCACTGTCTTCCTGCGAGGCCTCACCCCCATTCTGGAAAGGCAGGGGGCTGTAGGCACTCTGTGAGTTACCAGTGGATGAAGAATGGCCCTGGCCCTGACCGGTGTGGCTCAGTTGGCTGGTGTCACCCCATGTACCCAAAGGTTGCAGGTTCAATTCCCTATCCGGGCACATAACCAGGTTCAATCGATATTTCGCTCTGAGATTGATGTTTCGCTCTCTCCCTCTCCCTTCCTCTCTAAAAATTCCTCTCTAAGAAATCTTTAAAAAAGAAAGAAAGAACAAGAACGGCCCTTAAGGGATGCATGTGGGTGTCTCCCAGGCCAGGCTGCCCAGACACCACCCCCCACCCTCCTCCCCACTTGCTCGTACTCCAGCCCCGTTTACACACCAAGACCGGGAAACGTGCCAAGTGCTCTGCGTGCACTGTGGCACTCAGCTTCACTGCATCCCTTTCCAAGAAAGGGTGTCCGTGGGCCCATTTTCCAGGAGCCAGACTGAGGCCCAGAAAGGTGAAGCCAGCTGCCCGAAGTCACACGGTGAAAAGGTGGAAGAGCCGAAGAGCTGGGATTCAAACACAGACCCGTGAATCCGTGGCTTCCCCCTTCTCATTACCCTGTCACCTGCCTACAATACCAAGCATCTCCACGGGAGGCTGCCCTGGAAGCCTGGTCACTCCCGTTGGGCCAAGGGTCCCAAACGGTGTCACGGCCTTGGAACAGCTGGACCCCTCCCCCAAGCTGAGTCAGGACCTCTCCACGCCCTCCCCCCTCTGGCTTGAACTGAGAAGTCCCAGCTCAGCCACTGACAAACAGGGTGACCTCAATGACCCTCAGGTCCCCCCTTCTGCAAAACAGAGACAGGTGAGATGTCATGAGCTCCAGCAAGGGCAATGCCCAGTCTGGTGGCTGCCTGCACAGCCAGTCGGCAACAGAGCAACAAATAAGCAGCCAGAGGACGCTGCTGGGGGCGGGACCCTCTCCCCAGTCACGCACACCTGTTCGTCAGGTGCGTGGCTGCTCCCATCCTCCCGGGAAGTCCAGGGCTGGTCCCACCCTCCCAAGCCGCCTGTGTGAACCTCAGCGGGACTTCCCACGGGGACCCTCCAGAAGGCGAGTCAAAATGACTCCCCAGGCACACGCCCAGCGGAAGTGGACGCCCACGTGGTCCCGCCGCGAGTATCCTCCAGGAGGAACAGTTATTTTGGGGGAGTTGGTGACAGCGGGGGCCAGGCTCACCCACAAACAGCCCGGGTGGAGAAGATTTTGTCCCAGACGGTGCCTGGGACCTGAGCTCCACCCAGCCTGCCTCGGGGGTGGGGGTGGGGAGCGGTCCCATTCGCGCGGGACGCGGGGAGCAGGGGTTCGCACACGGTTCATCTGTCACGGGGCGCTTCCTGCCCACGGATCGGCCTTTGTCCCTCGGGGCGGGGGCGGGGGCAGCCCGACCTCGGGAGGTGCAGGGAGGAGTCCGGTCCAGCTCACCCGCTGGGCGGACGGAACGGCAGGTGCCCGAAGGGTCACTGTGTCCACCCGGGAAGGACGGACGCCAGAGGAGACTGCTCAGCGCGGGGCACTCGTCCGGACCCCCCGCGCCCTCGCCTGCCCCGACCCTGACACTGGAACCGCAGGGCGCCCCCTTCTCCACTTTCTACGTTGCACGGACCGAGCTGAGTTCCCGCGGGCGATGACATCTTCCAAACGCGGCGTGACTTCCAGCACCTGCCCGGCCCGGGCCACGCGTCCCACCCCCGGCCCTGCCCCCGGCCGCCCCGGCCCCGGCCGCCGCCATCAGCGCGTACCCGTCACCACCACCGCCTTCCGGGGCTGCTCCATGGCGTTCGGGCTGCGCCGCCGACCCGCTGGAGTCCGGACTGGCGCGCCCGACGCCGCCGGAGCCCGGCCCCCGGCCCCGCCCAGGTCCCGCCCCGCCCCGGTGTCGCCCCGCCCGGGCCGCCCGCGTGCGCCCCCGCGCCCCCACCCCCGGCTCGGCCCGAAACTCCTGCTTGCGCGGCTCCAAGATCCGCATTCAACCCAGGAGCGCGCGGCTCCCCGCGCTGCAGAGCCTCGGTTTTCCCACTTGGAACGGGGGCGGTTTGTACCGTAGGATGTGGCCGCTGGAACTCACGGAATCGGGCGCCAGGGACAAGCTGGTCTCTCACTCCACAAGTGTGCCTTGAGGGCCCGCCTGAACGATCAGGGGGTCCCCCACTTCCCTGTGAGCAACATTCCTTTCGTCCTGTTCTGCAGATGAGGAGCCTGCGGCACAGCTCGGAGGGCCACTGGGCTGGAGCCTCCTGGGATCACAGAAGTGACATTCAGGCCAGGGGGTTAAGCTAAGAAATAGTCGGGTGGTGCTGGAAGGTTCTCTGCGGGCTTCTATGTTGCTAAGGAGGCTGACATGGCCCAGGGACCTCAGCCTCTCCGCCCTCTATCTGCCCACGCTCGCCCCAGGGGCCCTGCATTTGCTGTTTCCTCTGCCTGGGACATGCCCAGCAGTTACCACATACCTAGCCTCTTCCTCTCCTTCGGGGCTCCGTTGGAATGTCACCTCTTCCTAGAAGCCCTCTCTGGCTGTCACCTCCTCCTAGGGGCCCTTCTAACGGGCTGAACTCACCACCACCCAGGAGATCCTTCTCATTTCCTTATTTCACTGAAAGAAATCATTCCTTGATAGGTGCAGCTTTCCTGGTGTAATTCCCCATTTGCTATGACATAAGGGTTAGAACTTAACATGCCAAGAGGGTGTCTCTATTACATCGGTGTCCCTGCACTCAGCACAAGCCTAGCACACAGTCGATCTCCCACCAACCTTCATCAGAGGTCAGAATTCCTCCAAAAACAGCCAGAAAAATAAAGCTGTGTTTCTGGCCACATCCTCAGAATCAGGGCTGCACATTAGACACGGGTCACCGACGTCTCATTCCAAGCAGCTTGGCCCCGATTAGCCAGGCTGCTGCTGAAGTTCCAGCTGCCGCCGGCCCAGGCCTCAGACTACCCGGGGCAGAGGTCTTTGGACTACCCAGAGCCCTGTTTGCAAGCTCAGACTGGAGGTCACATTCTCAGTGACTATTTGGGTCTCTGGCAGCTTCAGGTAGCATTCAGAGCAGGTCTCGTCTGACCAGGGGAGCGAGACCCAAACCAAGTGGGAGAAGAGAACAGAATGAAAATCTCACTCAGAATCAGGCTTTATAGTTTAAACATGTTGAAGTGTCTGGTAGAAAGTGCACATGTTGCTAGAAGCCTAGGATGTGAAGAGAGGGAAGTCACAGTGGGTTTCATTTTCCCCCATCAAAGGGAGGAAACTGCAACACCCAGAATCAGCCCTGATGGGGGGAAACTGAGTCCCATGCTGTTGCCAAAAGTGATTGGGGTAAAGGCTCAGGTTCACTGGCACCTGAACCACCCATGGATCCTCTTCAAGTGTATAACTGGAATTCTCTTTTTAAATCTCCCCAAATCCTTAGAGGAAGGGACTGGTCTTACACCATTTTGCAAGTGAGAAAACTGAGGCCCAGAGCAGGCACGCCACTTGTCCCCAATCACATATGCGAGGGGTGAGGGTTTGGATTAAGAGCATATGGGCATATCCTTAGGGGAGGACAAGCAGACACACACACACACACGCACACACACACACACACAACCCTGGCTGGAGCTGCCAAGATGTGTGCTCAAGGATGAGCTTTGCAAAGGTGTAATCATTGATGCAATGCCCATGTAGGTTAGATGAAGGCACAGAGAGGAGGATGGCGAACTGGAGAGAGAGAGAGAGAGAGAGAGAGAGAGAGAGAGAGAGAGAGAGAGAGAGAAAAGGTAGTTACCTTGGAAAGCCAAGAGCAACAAAATGGTACAGCTGCAGGGAAAGAATGCTTGCCAGCCCGGGCCAGTGCGGCTCAGTTGGTTGAGTGTCCTTCCGTGTACCAAAGGGTCGCTGCTTCCGTTTCCCGTCAGGGCACATACCGAGGTTTCTGGTTCGATCCCTTGGCAGGGCATGTGCTAGAGGCAACTGATGGATGTGTCTCTCTCACATCGATGTTTTCCTCTCTCTCTCCCTCTTCCTACCTCTCCTTCTAAAATCAATTTTTAAAAAGTTTGGCAGTTCCTCAAGAAGTTAAACATAGTTACCGCAGGGCCTCGAAATCCCATGCCTCGGTATAAACCCCAAACAATGGAAAGTATTAGGCATTGAAATAGTTGTAATGAATGTTCACAACAACGCTATTCACAATAGCCAAACCATCAACATAAAATGTCCATCAAGGGATGAATGGATACACAAAATGTGGTTTACCCAGGCTGCTGTCAGTATACCATGGAACATGACTCAGCCATAAACATGAACAAAGCTCTGATTTATGCACGGATGAACCTGGAAAACACCGGGCCAAGTTAAGGAAGCCAGTCACACAGGCCACACGGTGTATGATTCCATCTGTATGCGATGTCCTCGACAGCAAGTCCATAGAGACAGAAAGTAGATTAGTGGATGCCAGGGGTCGGGGAAAGGAATGGGAGTGACTACTAATGGGGACAGGGTTTCCTTCTGAGTTGATGAAATGTTCTGGGACTAGACAGAGCTGATGGTTTGCAGCATGGTGATTGTATTTAATGCTACTGAACTGTACACTTTAAAATGGTTTAAGTGCGCCCAAACCGGTTTGGCTCAATGGATAGAGTGTCGGCCTGCGGACTGAAAGGTCCCAGGTTCGATTCCGGTCAAGGGCATGTACCTTGGTTGCGGGCACATCCCCAGTAGGAGATGTGCAGGAGGCAGCTGATCGATGTTTCTCTCTCATCGATGTTTCTAACTCTCTATCTCTCTCCCTTCCTCTCTGTAAAAAATCAATAAAATATATTTTAAAAAAATAAATAAAATAAAATGGTTTAAGTGGTGTTTTATCTTATGTATACTTTATCACAATTTTTAAAAAGCCAACATGGAAGCATTTATGAATGTGAAACAAATGCAAGAGAAAGACAGAGACACACAAATGTAATTGCAAAGGCAGCAAAAATCTCAGGAAGGAGGAATAAGAAATTGATAACACTGGGTCCTTTGGGGAGGGAACCAGAATGTGGGAAGGGAAGTGAAAATGGGGGTGGAGGGGAGATACCGCCAACACTTCTTGCACCATGTACACATATCAATTACCCAGAAATAAATACAATACACACTTTTTTTTTTAGAAAAATAAAACCACTAGAGATTCAAAAATTGTGGTAAAATACACATAACATAAAATGTACAACTTTTTTAAAATATATATTTTTATTGATTTTTTACAGAGAGGAAGGGAAGAGGATAGAGAGTTAGGAACATTGATGAGAGAGAAACATCGATTAGCTGCCTCCTGCACACCTCCCACTGGGGATGTGCCCGCCACCAAGGTACATGCCCTTGACCGGAATTGAACCTGGGACCCTTCAGTCCATAGGCCGACGCTCTATCCACTGAGCCAAACCGGTTAGGGCAAATGTACAACTTTTAAGTATACAGTTCAGTGGTATTAAATATGCTTACATTGTTGTGCAACCAATCTATACAACTTTTTTGTCTCATAAAGGTAAAACTCTGTCCCCATTAAACACTAACTCCCTAGCCCCCTCCCTCAGCCCCTGGCACCCACACTTCTACGTTCTGTGTCTATGAATCTGACTATTGTAGGTATCTCATGTAAGTATCCTATATAATTTGTCCTTTTGTGACTGACTTATTTCACTTAGCACAATGTCCTCAAGGTTCATCCATATTGTATCAGGTGTCAGAATGTCCTCCCTTTTTAAGGCTGCGTAATATTCCATCGTATGGATGGATTACACTTGCTTCTCCATCTTTCCATCAGTGGACACTTAGGCAGCTTCCATGTTTTGGCTATTGTGAATAATGCTGCTATGAACATGGTTGTGTAAGTATCTCTCATAGACCCTGTTTTCAATTGTTTTAGTCACTCAACTTATATGACTTATTTTTTTTTCAAAACAGCATGAGACTGATCACAAAGATGAAAAAAAGTAGTACAGTTTCCATAAACTCTCTACTCAGCTTCCCCCAGTGAAATAGTTTATCTTACTAAACCATTGTCACCCCCGGGAAATTAATACAATGTAATGGACTTGGGTTCCCCAGAGTTGTAAAAAACTTATTCCCCAGAGTTGTAAAAAAACATTTCATTTGTAAAGAACTGTTCCTTTTCAAATTGTAATAAGTTTTCTTAGGGAGAAAATGGAGGCCAGCAAGTATGGTGGTTAGAGCTGGCTTTGGTTCAAATTCTGCCTGACTCCTTATGTGGCCTGTACCCTCAGATGAATTTTTTTCCTATTTCAAGCCTCAGTTTCCTCAACTGTAAAATGGGGATTAAAGACTACTGCAGGCTTTTTATCCTATACTAGAGGCCCGGTGCACAAAATTCATGCACCGGGGAGAGGGTGGTCCCTCAGCCCGGCCTGCACCTGGATCCCTCTTGCAATCCAGAACCACTGGCTCCTAAACATTCATCTGCCTGCCTGCCTGATGCCCCTAACTGCCCCTCTGCCGGCCTGATTCCCTAACTGCCTATCTGCTCTCTCCTCCTGGCCTGATCCCCCTACCTGCCTATCTGCTCTCCCTTCCTTTCCACGCCCTTTGGACCCCCCACGCAGGCTTGCTGAGAGCTCTCTGCCACGGCCCCACCCCTGTCCTGATTGGTTATTATGTGATGGTGTCCTGGACAATTTGCACATTCCTCTATTATTAGTATAGATAATAAAACCCTAATATGCCAGTGGTTCTCAACCTGTGGGTCGCGACCCCTTTGGCAGTCGAATGACTCTTTCACAGGGGTCGCCTAAGACCATCCTGCATATCAGATATTTACATTATGATTCATAACAGGTGAT